TGGCTCCTGCCATTCTGGGGAGCAACAGTCCGGTTCCGGTTCCCCATTATGGTTGAGAGGCCCGAGTGGAAGGCATTGATTACTTTCCTAGGGAAGGATATACCCCCCCTGCCTATATTCACTACCTTCGGGACCTCTGGGTCGCCTAGCTTCTAGCTCCTCTCAGCTGGGTGCTGTCGGATAAGCCTGTGCGGGAGAGCAGATGTCGGGGGCTGGCATCAAAGGGTTTGCTTAGAAATGGTTTCTGCACAGCTCTACCCGATCATAACAAGAGACCTGCCTGAACTTGCTAATTTCTTGAGCTCTGTGGGGTTTTATCTTCTAACCTCCCTCTCTCACAGCTTTTGGGCTGTGCGGTATTCTGACTCCTGTCTGCACTGTTGTTTCTGTGTTTTGCCTTCTTTTGCACCCTGAACCCTGGGGTACTCGGGTCGTCTGTTTTGTGCAGCTTGTGTGTGTGTGTGTGTGTGTGTGTGTGTGTGTGTGTGTGTGTGTGTTTAAGCTACGTCCATAAGGTTCCTAGAGGGTTTTGCCCTTTCATAGCCGAATTTTATGGGAATACTAGAAAGTGAAACGGTTTTCACCTCTTTGCAGTAGCAGATGCAGATCCTTGGGCTCGATCCCTAGACCTTGCCCTACCTGTGTACAGTACCTGTGTAGACCCCGAGAGTTGAACCTGTGACCTGTGTATTTGTAAACAGTTGGTAGGCTGTCATAGGTCCGTACGTAGCAGAGGGGTTCGATCTGTAGATCTGTAGGATAGAAGTCTTAATGAGTTCCAGAAGTCTTAGCTGTAGCCCTTCTAGAAGGTCAGCAAGAGGGCAAGTGGGCAAGTAGGCAAGTGGTGAGTCAAGTGGTGGACTAAACTGCAGTGCAATTGCAGTACGACTTCGGTAGGTTAGCAGTGAGTCCCCACTCAGTCAGCTGTAAGGTCCAGTCAGTCCCAGTCCGGTCCAGCAAGTACCACAAGGGACTGTGAGCACCATGGGCCGATGGAAGAGGGCAGACCAACGAGTTTCAGAAGTATAAATCAAGAGGCCGCGCCCAGCCTTTCATTCATTCCTGCGTGAGCCATGCGGAAGCGCTGCCACAGCGACTTGTGCAAGGAGGTCTGCAGAGAGCCCGGAGCTGAAGTGGGCGAGAGAGGAGCGTAGCATAGTGATAGGGTAGTTGCGGCCATAGCCGCCATAGCTAGAGTTAGTGTGTAGCGAGTGTGTGTGTGTGTGGGTGAGTTCAGAGAGAGTCGCGTGTGGGATATCCAGGGTGATCCGGTGTATGTGAACAGTGAGTTGTTTGGGCGCTGAGTCGCCATAGCCAATTGAAAGTGAACTCGTATCTGGATGCCATATCTCTGAGTTTCGAAGTGGGCGCATGTCGCCAGTTTGCTGCGCTACTGTTTACGTGCATGAAAAGTGTGAATGAGAACGAGTCTGATTGCATTGGTATCAGAGCTGGTACGCGCTATTCCATGCGCGCCGTCGTGTGTAGGGCCTGATGCGCCATAGCAGAGGTGGCCGCCGAGAGTCATAGTCCGCCATAGCGGGCCTGAAGGTTGGAGAAGCCGCCGCGCACCTGCAGAGAAGACCACGACGAAGAAGAAGACCGAGAGAGAGGGAAAGGTTGAGCGATACAAGATTGGGTTACTACGTACCTGCTGCGCTGGAGATATCACTACGGAGGGAGAGAGAGAGAGAGAGAGAGAGAGAGAGAGAGAGAGAGAGAGAGA